ACCAAATGTGACCGCTTTTTGGGCTCACTGGGCCGCAGCGAGCCCAAAAAGCGGTCACATTTGCTTCTTCCCTCCCTTCACCCTATAGCAACGGCGAGGCCAAATGTGCCGGAACGGAGGGGAACCCCGATGGCCCTGACTGACCCCATTCAAAAACAAGCTTTTTATGAAAAGAATTTATCATTCATTCTCTGGCCCTGGTTTTCCAAAATTTCCCTCTCCTCCCTACACCACAGCAACGGAGACCACATGTGACCGCTTTTTGGGCTGGCAGGGCCGCAGCGAGCCCAAAAAGCGGTCACATTTGCTCCTTCCCTCCCTGCACCCCCTACACCCCAGCAACGGAGAGATCAAATGTGACCGCTTTTTGGGCTCGCCGGGCCCCGGCCCTAAAAGCGGCACATTTGCTTCTTTGTTAAAGAACGGGCTTCATTAAGTGTTCCTACACTCGCAAACACTCGGACACTTTTCCTGTCTCGGGCTTGTGTCCTTGCGGTCTTGAGCCTAGCACGCGGAAGTCGTGCTGAAGCTTTCCTGGACATTTACAGTAGTGTTCCTACAGCTGTACTGTCAAAGGGGAAATGTTTAACACCCCGCCTTCGAAGTTAGTGCCGGTAAAAACTGGCTTCGACACTTCTTTTCCTACACACGACAGTGGGGCTGTAGTACTTTTACTCACAAACATTTGTTCCTGGCGCAAACGTTTCCGTTCACTTGCAATCCTCTCTAAGGTTGCTGGTTCCTGTACAAAGTTGCATTAGCACTTTACCTGGATCATCATCCGCGCACTCACAGAAAACAAAAGTTCCTAGTGCAAAACGTTCCTGCACTGTACGGTCTTCCTGAGTTGCAGAAAGGGTCACTCTTTCCTTGGCGCTCTGGCCTCACTGCTCCTTGTAGCTTTCCTTTGCTCTTCACTGGTAGTTGGTGTTGTCCTTTCCTTTGGAGTCCTTCTGTCCTTTACCTTAGGGGTCCTTTCCTTTGCTGCTGCTGCTTGCCTCTTCTTTCTGCTGCTTCTGTCCTTTTAGCAGTTCTTCCTGATCCTGTTGCTTCTGCTTCTGTCCTTCTAGCCACTCTTCATGGTCCTTCTGCTGCTTGAGGCTCTTTTCCTTTCCTTTGTTGTCCTTTGCTTGGCGAATCCACTTCTTTGTGCTCATGTCCCAGTAGTACCAGTACTTGTTCTTCTCAACCCATTTCCATTGGTAGTTCACATTCTCGAAGCTGTAGATTGCGAAGTACGATCCTTCCTGGGAATTTCTTCCTGCACCTTTCCTGTAGCTCTTTGGGTCGCTTGGACCAATCTCATCCTCTTCTGTGTCCTTTTCCTCTTCAAACTGCTCCTTCTCGTCTTGCTCACCTGTGTGCTGCTGCTCTCCTGCGTCTTTTCCTTGCACTTCCTCTTCTTCTCTTTCCTCTGCTGGTGCTTGCGATCCTCTGCTTTCCAGTTCCTGCTGGAGGTGTGCGATCCTGCTCTTGTCTTCCTTCCTTTCTTCCAGTAGCCTTTCCATCATCTCCTCCAGCTTCTTGATCCTGGTGTCTTCTTCCTCTGCTGGTGCTGCTTCCTCTGCTTCCTTCTCTTCTGCTGCGGCTGCTTCCTCTGCTTCGTTCTCTTCCTTCTTGCGTGCCACGTAAGCTGCTGCTTCCTTTTGTTGTTGCTCTCTTTTCTTCCTTGCTTCCTTCTCCTTTCTTTTCTTCTCCTGCTCCTTTGCCTCTTTTGCTGCCTTGGCTGCTTCTTCTGCTTCCTTCTCTGCTGCTGCGGCTTCCTCTGCTTCTTTCTCTTCTGCTGTTGCGGGTGCTTCTTCCATCCTTTTCCTCTCGGCTTCAATGCGCTCTTCTTTCTCTTTCTTTTGTGCTGCCTCCTGTTCCTTCATCTGTTCCTTCTCTTTAATCTGCCTGTCCATCTCTTCCCAGTACTGCTTGCCTTCCTCGTCTCTGGGAACAAATCCTGGTGTTGCTTTCTCCTTTTGGTTCCTCTTTCCTTTTCCTTCCTTCTTTTCTTTTCCTCGGCCTTTCTCGTGCTTGTAGGTGTAGTCGTAGTCGACCCAGATCTTTTCCTGTGTGACGTAGTGCATCTTGTAGATTTGACCTCCTTCGGTAAAATACTTCCATTCCTGGCCGTAGTCGCGCGGGTACTCGAATCCTTCCATTTCCTTTTCCTTCTCCTTTGCCTTCTCCTTGTTTCTCCTGTTGATCTCTCTGATCTTTCTCTTCCTTTCCTCTTCCTTCTCTTCCTCTGTCTTTCCTTCTCCTTCTTCAACTCCTGTGCCTTCTTCTGTCCTTGGGTTGTCGTCCTCCTTTTCTGGTCCTGTATAGCTTTGCGTGTAGTACTCGTTCTCGTTCTCGCCGTAGTGCTCGAAGTCCTCGTGCTCTTCCATGATCCTGTCCGTGAACGGTCTGTCTGACCATTCCTCTATCCTTTCTTCTCCTTTCCTCTTTGGCGAACTTGTAGTTGAGGTAGGCGGCGTTCCTTGTTGAGCTCGTAAACCATGTCCTTCTCGGCGAAGTTCTCCTTCTGCTTCTCTGTCCTTCACTTCTGTTTCCTTTGCTTCTTCTTCTTCCTCTGCAGTGTTCACGTAGATGTCGTCGATCACCTTTCCTAGGCTGCTTTCAAAGGCGTCCATTCTTTCCTTGACTTCTGTTTTGAGGTTCCCGGTTTCCTGCGTCAACTCGTGAACTGCTTCTGCTGTCTTTGCCTGAGCTTCCTTGAGACTCTTCATCTCTCACGTGTTCTCTTCGAGAAGTTCCTTTATCTGTCGCAGATCTGAAGACGAAGATCCGCTCGAACGTGCCATTCCTAATGGCCTTGTGCCTTCGCAGACTGTTCCTGCAAACTCTCCTACACGGAGCGCTAGTTCCTTGAGCGAAGAAAACATCTTCACACACAAGGTTCCTGCTGGCCTCGACATGACTGTTCCTACTGCACATGCACTCATGTTCAGAAACTGTTCCTGTCCTAATGCACATGCTCTCGTGTCAGCGCACATGACGTCCTGCTCACATGCACTTGCACTGCAGAAAAACCTTTCCTGAATCTCAAGTTCCTGAAGTTCTTCTGCCTTCTGCCTTTCCTGAAACCTCTGACACTGAAACCCTTCCGAAACTGACGGCAATATTCCTGAAAACAGCAATGCTGCAAACGCAAAGTTTCCTTTACTCTTGATCATACGAACTGCGGCTTTGGCTTGCTTTTGGGTCAGGTGTTCCTGGAGTTCTTCTTTTCCTACGAGTTCATTCTTTCCTGTTTGGCATCCTAACCAATGCAGTGAAAGTCCGATTCTCTTTGCTGAAAGAGGCTTGGTACCTATATCGAGTAACATATCGGCAGTATTTTCCTTTGTACCTACAGGGCGCACACTGATGGTTCCTTCTTTGTGGAGGTCCTGCAAGAAAAGTGTACGTATCTGCAAATGCTTGACACGTCCTACACCTTGCCTTGTAATAATTCCTCGGGCTGCTGAGGAATCCATGTAAAGATGTACCTTGCAAGTTCTCATGGTGAGAAATTTGATTGCTTCCTGCAAGAGTATGCTGTCACTGGCTGCACTCGCTCCTGCATAGTACTCTGCTTCTCCGCTACCGAGGCTCACGGACTTCTGTGTCCTTGAAAACGAGTAAATACGCTGACCATCAAGACAAACAATTCCTGAACTGGTAGAACAAGAATCCCTACGCACTTCCTGAATGAGGCTGCTTCTTCCTGGTCCAAAGGTTGCCTGTTGTCAGGTTCCTGAGACTTTTGGGTACAAGGTGCTGGTTTTGTGCCTTTGGTTGTAATCTTGAGTTCTTCCTTGAGCCTACTAGATACTTCGGGTCACTAGTGATGTGAAGCTCATGATTGTGATAGCTGAATTTCTTTTTGAGGAATCTGATGGTTTGATGTGAACTTCCTACAGTAAGTTCCTGTTCTGTCAAGAAAGGGCCTTCTACCTTGAGTTCGTAGGTCTCACCAAGTTTCCTGAGCTTTGGTTCAACGCTGGTACTTTTGCCTGCTGCCTGTATGTCATCTACATGCACAACAAGAATGCTGTTCCTGTCATCACGAAACAAAGTAGGGCACGCTGTGCTTCTGATGAACTGTTGTTCCTTGAGTGTTCCTGCAAAGTGGTCGCTCCACAAAAGTGCTGCATCACGCTGTCCTGGAAGTACTCTCAACAAGAGTAGTCCTTCGTTCCTGCAGCTCGGATCCTGTTCCGAGAACAAGTCAATGTATTCCTTGGGAAACTGGCACGCACAACGTGTGCGTTGCGGTACCTGCAGAAAAGCGTCCTTCACGTCAATGGAATACAGGGAGTGTTCCTGTCGTAATCCCAATACAGGGATCAAGCGTACCAACGATGCACTCGTGGCTGGCGAAAACGTGTCGTTCTTTGTTCCTGTGTTCTAAGTTCTCTCGCCACTAGCCTAGCTCTCCTAATCCACCGTTTGTTCCTGAATCTCAAGACAAATTTCGTGGTAAGCCATTTTGTTCCTTGGCTGCTGTCTTCTTCTTCCTGTCTCTCCACTCTCTCTTCACTCTCAAGTTCTTGAAGAGGTCTTCTTGTCAGTGCCTTCATCTCTGTGAGGCGGTTGATCTCCGTGACCATTGCCTCGCGGTCAAGCTCCTCAAGTTGTTCCTGAGAAACCTCTGGTGGTCCTGAGTCCTCGTCTTGCTCGGCAAAAAGCGTTCCTGTTCTTCCTCTGAATCACCAATCTCAGAATACGTGTCTTCCCAGAAAATATCTTCTGTTCCTGGTTCAGGTTCTGGGAGTTCCTCATCATTGTGTTCAAACACTCTTCCTACGCTGAAAGGAGGATAAGTTTTCTTGGGAGAATCAATCTTTGGGATCTTTGAGCCTGTTCCTACATCTTCGAACTCTTGTTTCCTAAGTAGTGGTGGTCCTCTAGCTGAAAGTAGTTCACCTACCACGGTACTGTCTGGAACAAGTTCCACCGACTCAGCCTCTGACGCTTCTTCCATTGCTCGTCCTTGGCTCGAGGAAGATGGATCTGAACCTGCTTCTTCGTTCATGTTGTCAGGATGTTCCTGCTCAAGTTCTTGTTCTGCTTTGCGTTTCTGCTGCGCTTGTTCCTTTCTGGCTTTGCTTTCCAAGTACGTGGTCCTTGTAGGTCCTGTAGATGTTCCTGAAGATTCCCCGCCTTGGAGAAACAACTGGTCCTGAAGTTCCTGCAGGGGCAATGTCCTGCACTCCGCGGTCCTGAGCGGGTCCATCCTCCACAGGAGGGATCTGTGCCGCTGGCTTTGGCAGATTCTTCCTTGGAACGTTCCTTGTAGCAAGTGTAGCGTGCTTCACTTCCCAGATGTGTATACCTACACTGCTGATTCCTTTGACATCAAAGTGTTCTGTACAACGTTTAGCACTGCGTGAAGTCTTGATGCCATCCATGCGCCAAGTGATGTACTGATTGTTATCCGTCTTTCCTAGAAATACGCCACGAAGCCACATAGGATCACCTTTCTTCCTAGTTCCTGCACGATTGGTAAGTACGAGTAAAGACTCTCCAAACTCTGCTAGCTGTCCTTCGTAAGGTCTGCCTGCAATCCACTCGTACGGCATCATACCTGTTCCTGAATGACGATGGTACCTGTTATGCATGTCGGGCTAACTCGGGGTCCCCCCAAACCCATGGTATCAAACGGGCATGGGTTGGTCGAGGGTTCGGTTCTGGAAGCTATTGCGGGACGTACAATATGATCCTGTTTCAAACACCAGGTTTGGCACTGTGTTTTGGGGTCTAAGCTAATTTCGGTTTTAGCTTTGGTACCTAATGTGTTGTTTCTTTTCGGTGTCAGACTTTGTCTTGATGGGCACTTCGCAAAAACCACGATTTTCAACTTGACGGGATTGATCTGTCCAAAGTCTTGGAAAATGCTGAAAACACAAAGCGAGCACAGAGTCTCGTCCAAAGTGACATATTTGACTCCGTCCTTGGGCTTAATCTGGTTGTCTGTGTTTTCGGATGCCTTTTTACTGAAAGAGCTTGTTTCTTTTCGCATCTTGCTGCATCCATGGTCACTGTTCGAACAAAATTGAAGCACCAAATCGACACCTACAGCAAAATGACAGGATTTCCAAGGTCTCTCCTCAAACCTTCAGCAAAAGATCAAGATTTCCGAGGTCTGCACCTGGAACCTTCGGGAAGAGTTGCTGCAGATGCAGCATTTGCTCCCCGAGGTCTTCCAGATGCACCTGCGGAATAAAAATGAGTGTTTGATCACTTTGCCCTGTGTTGGAACCTGAAAAGCCGTTTGCGCTGAAGAGCAGAAGTCATTTTCCATGCTCACTAATCCCAGTGGGTCTGCAATCTTGCCTGGCTTGACTGTGTCACATCAAATCACTCCAACGGCCAAGATCGGAACTCCACTCTGGAGGTTTGACAGTTGAAGACCAAAACTTCTTGCCAGCCGTCTGCAATCTGCCAAGCCATGAGAATCAAGCAGACAGGGAGAACAAGATCCACAGCAACACCTCCGTTGGCTGTTGGAGGGCCGGCGCTGAAATGCTCTTCCAAGACATTTTGAGTCACACAATCCTCGTTGTGAAGTAGGTCCTTTTGCTCATAACGGGCCTGCAGCGGGCACAATGTGATTGCATCGAGTGACGGTGTAGAGTTCGGAAGCACAAAAAAATGTACATCTTCTACAGCTGAGCTCACAAAGCAGCCTACCTTGAGCAGCAAAGCGCTTACCAGAACAGCAGTCGGTTTAGGG